CCAGGTTGGGGGCAGAGACTCAAGGACTTGGGCCGTTATCTGTTGCTTCCCAGGCGCGGTAGCAGAGGGCTGGGACTCAGGCACTCGGGTAGGGGACGCCTGCATCACCGGCAGCAGCTCAACACTGTGTCACAGCACTGACTGCCCCCTGCCCCGGCCAGGTCCATTTTTAAACTGGGGCTGTTTTTTCTTAGGAATTTACAGAAGGTTTCTGTTTTTTTTTTTTTTTTTTAATACTATTGTATATATTACGGGCCTCTTTCTTTTGACTTTTATTTTGTAGAACTTTTACCTATTTTTATACTTCCACGTTCCTGAGCCTTGCAGCTCTAACAGCTCTTCCCTACCCCAGCGTTTTCACCTCACACCTTTCCACACCTTTTAAGTTTGGCCCTGGAAACCGTCTCTAATGTAGCATAAATTAGGTTTCTGTTCTTTCCCAAATGGAAAACCTATTGTCCCAATACAACTTTTTTTTTTAATTCTTTTTAAAAACACACATTCAATTTTGGAGATTTAAAAAAAGAATACAGACTGAGCTTTGCGTTTTCTGAAGCAAGGCCAGGCTAAAACTTAAGAACGTTAATTTGTTCTCTTTGCATTTTGGTTATCCAAATGGCTCAAAACATAGGGGCTTGGCACTTCCCAAGGCAGACAGGAGGTCTCTCTGCTGACCAGAGACCGAGGTTTCGCCTCTGGGGACCAAGCTGGGCCGGCCGTGGGGCCCCAGGTTCCCTACCAACTCAGCACTCCTCTTCCCCACGGTGTTTCTCCAGGGGGTCACTCCTGGGACTTAGCACACTCCTGTGCTCAGTAGGTTGGGTGGCCCGGCCAGCACGTGTCCCCTGACATCCTCCCTCCTCAGTCACCAGGTGTTGCCAACACAGCAGCCCCGCCCCTCGGAGGGAGAGGACTGGGACCGCGTGCCATCAGCATCGGGCTCCTCCCAGCCCGGCGGACCTCTCGGCGTCCAAGTCAGTCTTTCCCTGAAGCTCCCCTGCACCCCCAGCGCCAGGCAGCCATTCTCCTCTGACTCCTCTTCCAGGGAACTCTCTGGGGGGCATAACCACCAGCCCTTCTGTGAGCACGGTGCTGGGGACAGGGGCCGCGCTTGAGACTGAGGTGAGCGAGCCAAGGCCACGGGCAGCGATGCTGAGTGAGAGCAGGAAGACCCGGATGGGCGGAGGAGAAGCGCTGGTGCCCTTGGGTGGTGGCACGGTGACAGAGGGGCTCTGAGTCACCAGGGGAGGCACAGAGTAACTGGGATGGGCTGCTACCCCCGCCTCCCTCACTTCCTTTCCAGTCAGGGCGCTGTATGCACATTCCCCAGCCTTGACCTGCCCCACCACCACTCCCTAGCAAACCCAGTTTTTGTGCAGCGTGTGTGTGGGTGGGTGTGTATGTATGCACAACTGACTCTTGCCAAGATTAGATGAAAACACAGAAAATCACAACAATCGGGCTGTTTTTGACCTACAAGGCCAGCCTCTCCACATGGTTCAGCCCAATGGAGTAAACTACAGTAAAACCCTCCATGTCAGCGAGCGGAGCAAATGAACTAAGGGGTTGCCTGCTGTCTGCAGCTCCATACTTGCAATGTGCACATCGCATTTCCCTTGGAGGCTCTGCTCTGAGACAGCTGCTTTGCTGTGCTGTGCCCAAGGCGACAGAGGGCACGGTCACTTAGTAGTCAGCAAAGAGCCAGCTGAAATTCAGGCAGGGGCAAGCCCCGGGCTTCGGCATAACCTTGACTGAAGTTTTGTGGTCCACAGACCCTGCCTTGCTGTCCCTCACCCTGACCCCATGGCCAGCTAGGCTAGTTTGCAAGAGGCCAAAATGACAGAGGGACCAGTGGGACTGGGGATATAGGCAGCAGCTGCAGCGGGGGAATCTGGGAGGAGCAGGAGCCCCGGCCAGGGCACACGGCCAGCCTGGAGGCCAGCCCCAGCTTCTCTCCTGCTGTTCCTCCTGCACCTGCCTGCTTTTCTGTCACCCCAAAGAGGACATCTGCTGAGCTGGACGGAGTCACACTGTCCAGTGAGGAACTCACTTCCAAGCAAAGATCCCATTGATGCTGGGTCTCCTTTTAGCGCTTCCTGAAAGAGCAGCCAGTGAGGGGATCCAAACTTTGGAAAAGCAACAGAGCGCCCCCTGCTGGGTACTTTGTAGCATTGACATTACCGGGCCTTCTTGCACCCCAGTCTGAAAACAGACCTCAGGGCTTTAGCCTTGTATGAAAACCAGCGACACCATGACTCACCGTGGCGAAGTTGTGAGTCTTGTAATAGGCTAAGTTTATTTGTTTCATGACTCCTGGGTTCCTAATAAAAATTCTTTTACTTCTTTGTCTCAATTATAGAAACAAGGCAAACACTGAAAAGTTCTGGGTGTTCTGATAGCATTTTTTTCCCTCTTCAGGATGGGGTGGTCACAGAAGCTTTTACAGGGGAGGCAGCAGGGTCCAGGGAGAGGACACGTGCTCTGAGAAAAGACAGACTAGGTTGGGATGCATTTGCTGTTTGCATACGTCTTTTAACTGGGAATAAGTCATCTAAGCCACGGACTCCTGGGCAGTGACATCCACCTAAGAAGTGAAAGCGGGGCGGAAGCCCCTGTGTGTAAAGCGTCAGTCATGGCTGTCACTACTGCAGTGGGGCTGCTGAGATCCGTGAGTCCAGTTTCTAGGAGGAGCAGCTCCAGGGCACAGGAGCGTTTCTAGAGCCTGTGTCTGGCCTGCAGCGTTCCCCCTGGGTCACAGGACAGCACTCACCCTGTGCACTCAAGTCTGCAAGTGTGGACAATTCTACGTCCAGGAGAGAGCCCACGTGCCTCCAGCTCCTCGGCCGCGTCCACAGCCCAACCGTCTCTCACTGGAACCGACGCAAGGCTCTTCCAATTTGCTTTCCCCGCTTTGATCTTCCAGTGACTCATGGTAGGGAAACACGGGCGACAATCAAATCTGACAGGCACGTTCCCTATCCCCCCAGTTAAAGCCTCCCTGTGGTTTAGGACAACACCTTCAACAGCACCCCTCTACCCAGCAGCCTGGCTGCTGCTGCTGCTGCCAGTCCCACGCGCGGACTCCACGCAGCTCACTGTCCTTACTTCTCTTCTCCAACCTTCCCCTGCCACCCCCACCCACCCTGCAGGTGCCGGCCCACAAGTTCAAGGAGGTACAAGAAACATGACATTTCCTCCAAGGCTAACGGAATCTGTTTGGCCCCATTCCGCATGGCAGCAGAAGCGGAATCTGTGCTCACTGGGGCGTCCTTGGCCGTTCTTAGGGTCTCGAAAAGCATTCGGGATACTCACAAATGACCAGGAAAACGGGCCAAGATCTCTGGTCTTCAGTTCATCTTGGGCCACTGTGGCTATCTTCACTGGCAAGCCTTGAAGAAGGTGGCTCCAGGACTTGGACTTGGGGGTCACTGCTGAAGCTGGGCAACTCACTGTTGAGGTTCAGGCCTCCTCCTGGGCACCCAACAGCCCATGGGCCTCTATAGCCCATCTCCCTGGTACACAGCTTTCCCCTGCACCCAGGAGGTTCTGGCTTCCCCTTTCCCCCCACCTCGTCCCCCGCTTCCTGGACAGGAGGCTGGGTTGTTTCTGAGCGTGTCTGCTTCCTGCTGTGCAGAGAGAAACCCAAAGGACCTGGCCACTCTCATGCGGAGCGGGGAAACACTGATAAAACAAGGATCTTGGGTTCGCATGAGAAAAGCCACAAGGTCTCCGCCTGACTGTCCAACATAAAGCAGGTCCCCTCAGTCACGTGCCCCCATGCCCTCAGGAGATGCTCTTGGTACCCCTTCCCCAGCTACCGGGTAACGCAGGCACTCCGGCAACATCCGGGAGGTTCCGCTCTCCCTGACAGAGGGCGGGACTAAGCCAAGGGCTGACCATTCGCATGGGGACGAGGGCCGAGTAGCCCCTCGCCTCACCTTGGGAAGGCCCTTGGTGCGATGGCGATGCAGGGCTCCTGGGCCATCAGCCTGAGGCCAGCCCTCAGCTGAAGACACAGCTTCACCTGGCTTCTACCCTGCTCCAGCTGAACCCCCTCCAGGGATCCCGAGAGCACCCCCTCTGCCAGTGACCTGTGCCAGAAACTGTGCCTCGGCCTTTGCAGTCACATTCTCCAGGTCTCACCGCGTTGTAAGTCATGATGGAGCAACACGCATGCTCCGGCCTGGACTGCGGGCAGGAGCCACGGCCCGCGGGGCCGCCCAGCCTCCCTCTGCAGGCAAGCTCCTCCTCGGGGGTTCTGCTCCATGTGGTTGACGCAGGCCACCCACCAGCGGCCTGCACCTCTGCCCACATCCCGCAAGCCCCAGCAGACAGCATCTGCCTGGCCACCAGGTTGGGGACCTGGTTCTTGACATAATGAGCTATGGCTGCAGAGTACTGTGGTCCATACACTTGATCAATGAGGCCGCTCCTGGGGATGACAGGGCATCATAAACTAAGTAAACAAACGACACCGCTACAGGCGTCATGTTCTGACAGCTGAAACCCAGCGAACTCGCATGTGTTACTGGTCTACCAGTATTCCAGGGAGAGGCCAGGCTGCAGGACCCAGCGATGCTCGCAAAGTTCCTGCATCTGAACGCCTCAGACATCACAGACCAGAGAGGCTGCAGGGAAGACCTCATTCAGTGAGACGAGAGTGAAGATTTTCTAGATATCTCACTTTTCTGGAAGACTCTTCTCTCGCTATACAATTTTCTTCCTAAACACCGTGATTCCCTTCTCTACTCTCTTTGGTTCCAGAAGGGACTGGCGGCCTGGGATCTATATTCTGAAGAATGATTCCTAGTTAGGACCACAGCCCAGGGGGAAGAGGTGCCCTGGCTGTTTGGGTGCCTGGATAGTTGGTGTGTGTTTCTGGCTGACACCTTAAGATCACCTCATTCGTGCTGTGATGTACTGCTTCCTCCTAATGCCAGACAAACACCCAGGGAAGAAAGGATGCGCAGAGATAACTCCAAGAGGCAAATATACACGAGTGTGTTTTGCAAAGTGTTTACTGAAACAAGCGGTTAGCTAAATCCTGACGTGAGGGTGCTCTGGTTCCATGTGAAAGGGCTTAGGGAAATGAAGATATGCCATTATTATTAGATACGATTCGTGGTCCACCTAGCTGAAGGTTCTTCCCAGCAGCACCAAAGGAAGCTGTAGGGGAAGAGACACTTTTTAAATCTGTAAATTAATCCAAAATCTGCAAACGGCACGGGGGAGCTCTGGCGTCACAGTGCCCAGGGCACGAGAGATCTGTGTAGCCCTAACAGCTACAGACCAAGTGCCCTCAGAGCACCTCTGCAAGTGGGGAACCAGGAGTTCGGAGCGGTCCGAGGCCTGCTCCCTCCTTTCCTCTTCGGCATTTTCAATCACCCGCGTCACAGGAACTGTCTAAGTGGCTGGGAGTGTGGCGCTTTGACGGTGAAGCGAAGCCAGAAAGGTAAACGCTGAAGCAACCATGTTCAAACTCGGGTGAGCGACGGCAGAGCTCCAGGGGTACGGAGCCAGACCGTCTGCGCTCCCGAGACGTGCGCTGCCACAGGCCAGGCGGGCACGCGGCTCGGAGCGCTGGTTTCCCACCAGTCTGACTCAGGAGGTTAAGAGACGTTTCCTGTGTATGTATTCTCAAAACACCCGTGGTGAGAGAGGCGGGGCGTCAGTTCCCGACGGGGGGCACGTTCTCGTGCAGGTACTGCAGGGCCAGGTCTGTCCACTTCATTTCTTGTTCTTTGACAGACTCCGTGGTGCCGCCGTTGTCCTGCTCGGGTTCAGGCAGCTCGTTCTGCAAAGGCACAGTGCACACTCAGAGCAGGCACACCTTCCGCGGCGACTCCTTTAAAACCGTATACAGTTTTCACTTTGTTTGTGGGGGAGGGAAGGAGAGACAGAGACGGAGGGGGATATGGGGGAGGCGGGGGGAGATATCTTCCATCTGCTGGTTCACTCTCCATATGCTCACACCAACCAGGGCTGGCTGGGCTGAGCCAGGAACTCAATGACCGCAAGTACTTGAGCCATCGGCCGCTGCTTCCCAGGGTGTGCAACAGCAGGAAGCCGGATCAGAAGTGGAGCTGGGTCTCGAAGCAGGCACTCCGCTATGAGATGCTGCATGCGAAACAGCAACTTTAACCTGCTGCAGCAAGTGCCCACCCTGCATTAACTTCTTAAACCCAAAGAGCACTGAGAAGTAAAAGCTACAGGAGCCTAGGCAAAGGCAACCCACTGTTACGTGTATTCCAAAGGTGTTAAGGGGAACAGATGTGGGGAAAACATCGGGAGCACGGCTCAGACCTGGCCCGCCTCTCTTCAGCAGGGCCCAGTGGGCACCGTGACTTGGGCAGGAGGGCTAGGGACACAGGCTTTGGCAGGCAACCAGGATCCACGCCACAACCCTGCATGTGCTGGGTTCCCTGGGCAGCGCAGCAAAGCCTCAGGTACCTGTGCCCTCCCTGGCCAACGGGAGAAAGCAGCGGCCCCGTCTCAGAGGATGGAAGAAGCACTGGACACCAGTGCTCAGCATCATGCGGGGCACCCAGAGCTCACACCTGCCCTTGTCCTTAGTGCTGAGGGACTCTGCCAGGAACCAACAGGAGGGGTTTTGGGGGAGAGTATGGTTTAAAATACCAGTTTTGCCGGCATGCTCCCTCCACACATGAAGTGTATCCAGGGGTATGCACTGCGGTGCAGGGAGCCGAGCTGCTTAGGGGTATCCCACACAGGAGAGCTAGGGACTGAGTCCCGCCTCCACGTCCAATCCCGTATCCTGCTAATGCACCTGGGAGCTGGCAGACGGTGCCAAGTAACTGGGAGAAGTGCATGGAGTTTCTGGCTTTGGCTTTGGCCTGGCCCAGGCCTGGATGTTGTAGTAAACCAGCAGATGGAAGATTTTTCCCTCTTTCTGTCTCCTCTGCCTTTCACATAAAAAATAAATAAATCTTAAACTATCCCCAAACTATTCTGCATCCAGCAGGCCTGTATTACAATGAAGAGGTGGGTGTATGTGTGTAGGGGTAGGGAGGTGTGGAGGAACTGAAAATCTAACAAAATGAGTAAGACCTCCCCCTAGTGGACGAGCAGAGCAACACAAAACACAGCCAACACCGAGTCACAACTCACCAGCAGGGAGCTTCCCACAAGGCTAAGTCCCTGCGCCACACTTTAGCAGAACCTGGGACTGTTTCCTAATATTTAAATCTAAATTTATCAGCACAGAAACTGCTCTGTATCAGAGTTCACTGATACTCATTTTTTTTTTTTTGCAATGATCTGAACTTACCCTTACGATTTCCTACTGGATTCCAACTTGCAATAAATATGTGAACAGAAAACACTTCAAAATTATGCCCCATAAATATTAATGTATAAATACACTGGCACTTGAATGAGTGTAAACGCATCTGAAGCACATTCATCTCGCTGTACAGATGTAAGATCAAGATTTAAATGCACAGATTGAAGAGGCCATTATTTCTGAAAAAGCAGTAACAGGAGCGCTCAACTTAGAAACACAGCCTGGTCCTCAAGCTGCTTAGAGATGACGATGAATGCAAAGGCCCTCGGCTAATACTGATTTGGAGGAGGCTGACTTTGCCTCGTTTCTCTGCACTGGTGGAGTGCTTTCTAGACGGCCCATGTGCCAGAGAAGCGCAGAAGTAACGCAGGGGTGGGCAGTGGGCGCAGACCCAGCTGGGGACGCCGACATCCTGTACAGGTGGGCCTGGGTTCAGGGCTGCCTCCTCCACTTCCCATCCAGCTGCCTGCGGATGTGGCCCTGCGAGGCGGGTGACCACGGCCTGGGTGCTTGGGTCCCTCCCACCCATGTGGGGGGCCAATTTGAGTTCCAGGCTTCCGCCAGCCCTGCTTGTTGTGGGCACTTGGAGAGTGAATCTGTCGCTGCCTTTTACACAAAGTAAACATAAACGTAAAAGAAAACAAAAATCCCACGGTGGTACCTGCAGCTACTCCTAACAAAACGAAGCGGCCACTTCCCCACCCTGTGTCTGGAATGGGCACGCCATGTCCTTCGGGCCACGTGATACAACCGTGAGCAAGCAGGCCAGATCCTGAGCCAGCAGGCTCCTCAGGCTGCCCTGGGTGCCCGAGACTGAGCTGAGCCATCTGGACTAGTCTGCTGGGTCAGGAGAGACCACGGCCACTCCACCGACAGCCTGCTGACGGCCGGACACGTGACACTGGCCTGGATCTCCCAAGCACATCCTGGAAGCCCACAGCCCTGGCCAGCTGAGCCACAAAGTCGTGAGGTGCCGGCTGCTGTCTGGAGCTACCAGGCTTCGACGTGCTTTGTTAGGCAGCAAGCGCTAACGTACACGGATGCCGCTTTAAGACAAGACCGGGGAAGGGCCTGGTCAGCAGCAAGACCAGGTCACCACCTGAAGCCAGCAGGGAAAGGCCGGTCTCCCCCACCACAGACGGTGCCATAAGCACCTCCGGGATCCGCAAGCCCACTCCACTTCCCTGGCCTTGTTAGGCCCTCCTGTCTCGCCGAGACGCCTGTGACGGCCTCCCCTTGGTGACCTGCGCTTTTCTCCACGTCACACCACCTCTAGCAATGCTGCTCAAGTGACTTTCCAAAAGCCGAATCTGAGCGTGGCCGTCTTCAGTCCTGAAGATCATCACTCCTGGATGTCCTAAGGAGAGGTCCAGGCGTGGTGTCCGAGAGGCCTTTCAACACCCAGTCTGGGCCCCGCTTCTCCGCCTGCTAACGTCGCACCACCTCCTACGTCTTTCACAACCCCAGGCCTTTAGCAGCCAGCCCTCGGCGGCAGTGCCCCTGTCAACCCCTGCCAACCTTGGAGTCCTCAGACGTCACGCTCTCCCTGAAGCCACTTCCTGGTCTACCAGGCGGGCAGGCTCCACACAGGTGTACGTGTGGCCTCTCCAGAGCCCTCGGGGGAGGGAGCTGTAGAATACGTTCCCATCCCCGTGGCACGCAGTAGGCTTGCAAGAAATGCTTGTCGCATGAACGAATGAAGGGACAAAGGCTTCCAGACGGGGTGTGGGGCTCCCCAGACGTGCCACGGAGCCGGTCTGTTAGCTAGCAGACTGCACACGCTCGTTCTCTGATCCCACCCCTTCCCTATGAAATGGGCCCGACATCGCCTCTCTTCCGGGGCCTCTCGCAGGGTCAGGGTGAAGGCTGCCTCCAGCCTCAGGCAAAGCATTTCGTAAACACTCGCTGTGATCATCCGTCTGCTCCACTTTTTGACCGATTCCTAAACCTGAACTAAGCGGCTCATTCATGGGACTACTACTACTTCTCACTTAAATCAAAATGCGGGTGAGCTGAACAGTCATTGTTTTGCAAACAGCAGGGAAACAACCTCTAACTCATATTTTCTGAATCGCTCTTCTCAGCATAGTCCCCAGGCCCTGGCCTCCTTGTCCTTGGTAGGCCTGATACACATTTACTTACCTGCGGGCTCAGCTTGTTACGTGCGGCTCAGCTAACACCTGACAGAAGCATTTTCTAGAACTGAGGGCAGAAAACAGTGCCCTCGAAGCCCGCTGGCCCAGTCACTATGAAGACAAGCCAGGCACCTTACGAGTATTTCCCAGGGAACGCAGGACAGGTGCGTGTTCTGGAAACGTCGGCAGCTGACAGGGCCGAGGGAAGCAGGGGCCCCGGTTAGCTTCCATGCGGCTGCTCCTGTCTGTCCGGCACACTTCATTGTCCGGTCTCCCTCCGGCTGTGCTGTGGCAGCCAGAACACGGCTCCGGAGGGTGGCGCCGCAGCCCTGGCAAGACCCCTGGCCGTGCTGGTTACCTCCGCTTTCTGAACCACACTGCTCTGTGGGGCTGAGACGCTCATACGCCCCCGCGGCTCCGACTTCTCTGCCCTCCTGGTACAGCCCCTGGACACCCTGCCTCCAGCCACGGTCCCGGGCCCCATCGCCACCTACCAGCGGTATCGCCACATCCTCGTAAGGCAGCTTGTCTTCCCGCCAAGCGTCGTCGATGAGATCCAAGATCCTTCCATCCCGCTGCACCTCACTGTCCATGTTCCCGTGGCTTTGATCTCGGCGGAGCCGGACGCCAAGGGGTTCCTTCTGAAACGGGACGGCAGGAAAGATGTGGACTTAGCACCAGCACTGCCCAGGCATTCCCGAGCCTCCCGTGAAGGCAGGAAGAGGTCCTCTTCCAGGCGGTCAAGTGACAACTTAAAAACCAGAGTTCCTGCGCCCGGTCAGCCGACAAACGCTGTGCAGTGAGCGCCTCTGGACAGACTCATCCATCCGTCTGCACCTGCCCCGATTCAAACCTCAGCACAGGAGCGCACTGCACGCGCTCAGCTCACACCTTAGGACGTGGCCAGGACAGGCCTGCCGCAAGGCCTCAGGCCAGGGACGGCGAGAGCGTCGGAAAGCTTGCTTCCTTCCTAAAACAGTGGCCCGGCCGAGCTCCGAGAGGGGCACCTCCAGGTGAGCAACTGGGGCATCCCAGGCTGCTCCCCCACTCTGAGACCAGGGTATCTCCATCCCGCCCCCCTCAGCGACCATGGTATCTCCCCACTCCCCCTTCTCAAGGACCATGGTATCTCCCCTCCCATCCCCTCTCCCCATGCTCTTCAGTGAGGATGGTGTCTCCCTGCCCCCTCTCAGGGACCATGGTATACCCCCCTCAGTAACCACGGTATCTCCCCCCCGCCCTTCAGTGACGATGGTGTCTCCCTCCCCCCTCTCAGGGACCATGGTATCTCCCCACTCCCAGCTGCACTCAGTGCACAGATGCCTCCTGCCAGCCTCATTGTCCCCTGAGCAGCTGCAACCTCATGCAGAGGCCTGGCTGGCAGGTTCCCTCATCGCTAGCGTTCCTCCACGTTAATCCCAACGGCCCGCACTCCACTGGACCAAAGGCGCCCTCAGGCCCTCCCGGCATCTGACACTGCGGAGGCGCACACAGAAAACCTCGGCGGGCGGCGGGATCCCACTCCATCCACGGGCCTCTGCTCTCCTAACAGCAAGACGGCTCCTAACCCCTGGACCGTAATTCTACCCGCGTCGGGGTGCGGAGAGGTTTCTAACCTCGGTGAACGGGCAGAACTGCGGCAAAGGCGCTCCTTCCGCTACCAGCAAGCCGCGTGGGGCCCCAAGGCTGGCCCAGGACCACGCGGCGACTCGTTGAAGGAGCCTGTCTTCAGGGCTCCTGAGGCTCAGGTGCAGTTATATGCGGTGCAGTCTGTCCCCTTTGCTGGTTTTCCCAGGCCCTCGCAGAGCCCCCTCCTATAAAAGCTTCCGGAGACCTCGGTCCTGACTCATCCAGACACAAGCGAGCTCAGCTCTGCGGCCCGCGGCTCGGGCACGCCTGTCTGGCTGCAGGTGCAAATCCTGCACCAGGATCCCCCAGCAGGTCTCTTCCACCTGTCCGCAAACACCGCCCGCCCAGTCCCACTCTCCCGCTCTGAAATCCTGCCCCTAGCGCCTCTGCATCAGACCTCGCCTTCCCCGCTGGCCTGCAGTCTGGCGACTTCAGGTGAACCCACTGCATGCAGGGAATGGTGTCCGGGCTAGGTTGCCCCCCGCCCCGGACCCGGACCCCAGACCCAGGACTCAGGATTAAATCACCACCTCTACAGCAAGGCTAGGCTCCGTTCTGCATGCCTCACGGGAACCCCGGCCCTGATCAACAAATTCCCGTCACACCACTCTCCGCACCGGCCAGAGGGCCACCGCTGACCAGTGTGCCAACCAGCCCTACTTGTCCTGGGGGCGCCGTGCCTGGCGCCAACAAGGGAGACAGACAGTGCGTGCCTTCCCTGCGACAGGGGCACGTCTTGTCCATCTCTGTCTCCCAAAGCTTTGTGACTAAGCATTTACACGATCAAAGACAAAACACCACCCCAGCTTTTCTGTGGCGCTACAAATGACCCTCGCAGGCCACCGTACCGGGAAGGCCAACCCACAACCACGGCTTCCGGCCCGAGGCGGGCGCTACCAACTGGGGAAACCAGGAGGGGGAGGTCTGGGGCCGCCACGTCAGGGCCTTCCAGCCCGCCACACTCCAAGGGTGAGGTGAAGGCATCGGCCGCGGCCGCTGCACTCGACCCCGTCACACCAAGACCCGCGCCACGAACGCAGGAAACTCTTACCAGCACCCGGCCCAAAGCAGCAGCGCTTCCTCCCGGCCACACCCCGGCACCACGTGACCCGTTCGCCCGTCTCCCAGATCCCCGGATGTGGGTGAGCCCATTTATGCGCGCGGAGGGGCGGTCCGGGTTGGGGGGGGGGTGAGGCGGCAGTGGGCGGAACGAACGTGTCGGCGGCAGAGGGAGGACGTAAGATCGGCGGCGCCGCGCGTGCGCGGGCCCGTCCCGAGGTAACGACGGGAAGGCCACGGGCGCGCTCGCGGCGGCCGCTGGGTAACCGCCAGTGGGGACCTAGGCCCCTGCGAGGGGCGGGCGTGTCCTGGTCCGGAGGCCCTGGCCAACCTGGTGCCCCCAGCCGCGCGGCCGCATGGCCCGGGACTGGCTTCTGCAGCAGCCCGCCGGCCACCAGGGGCGCCCCTCGGCCTGCCCGCCCACGCCTTGTGGCCCCGCGAAGGCGGCCGTGGCCCAGTCCGCGGTGGCGTGCGGCCCTGCGGGGAGGTCAGCCGTGGCCCGCAGGCCGGCCGGAGGGGGGTCGCGGGCTCGGGCGCCGCTGCGTGGAGTGCTCCCTGCGCGGGGAGGCTGCAGGGTGGCGTCGGCGGGGTTGGAGGAGGCAGGCCGCCCTCGACGTTCATATTCACATAGAAGGAAATGGCTTGGAGCGGTTGCTCAGTAACGCCCTACACGACCAGGCTCCTGGGGCTGGATCTGCGGTGCCCTGGCGGCCCTGGGACAGTGGCGGAAGCTCCTGTTCGTTTAGGGCTGCACGAAGCAGCTTCCCCCGAGCCCAGGGTCGGACCCCCGATGTCGGCTTCAGACGCCCCGCGTTTGCACAGTTTTGCTCCCCGTGTAGTTTGAGTTTACGAAGAGGAAACCAGGAGCGACACGGGCTGCATACTGAATCTTTAACGGATGTAGCTTGGTGATCGAGTCTGTGTTCGCTTGCTCGGAAGGCGGTGCCCTTGGTTTTCCTGCTGAGCTCCTTGCTAGTTAGCAAGGCCCTGAAACTGGAATGGGCTAGAGATGTGTAACCACCTAGACACTGCCCTCTGCAGCCCGTGCGAGTCAAGTTCATAAACTCGCTTCTAAGGGTTGTTTAGGTCGATTAGTCCCCGCGCTCCTCTGTGTGGGCCACTCTCACGGCTACCTTCCTGCTCCGCACGCACGCTGTCGGCTTGCAAAAAGCAACATGGACCTCAAAGTTGCAGGCATTGAATTTCTGGTTTATGTTAGCCCTCCCCTCCGCCCCCAAGAGCTAGGTTGGTTTCTGCAGTTGCACAAAGCCACAGAACTCTCACACCTGTGGAGATCAGAATTCCCTACTGTGGGCCTCCGCGGGGCTCGGGTTTCTTCAGCTGCCCCATCCCTGTGTGTAGTTGATCCCAGGTCTCACCCCGAGATCTCCCTGTGTGCTTGACTGATAGACCTTTTAAATCCTACCTGCAAACGGCTCTCTGGCCTCTTTCTGCTGTTCTACACTGACCTGTTTGCCTCCCGAGGTGTGCTTGGGTCCCCTGGAATTGCACCTCCGCCTAGCCAGCTGCAGCGGGTACGCTGATTAACATGGCAGAGCACACAGTCCAGTTCTGCATTGCATAGTGCTTGGTACAGCTGCAGCTCCTCCCGTGGTTACTGTTTGAACAGTGCAGCTGTAAAATTGTTACATAATTGCAGAAGGTTCTTTTGAACAGCGGTAGAATCTACCTTTTTTTTTGGTGGGGGAGGAGGAAGATTCCATAGGTGATACATTGTACTTCCTATCGCATTCGTTTGCATTATCAGCGAGGAAGGAGTGTCTGAGTTTTGTGACAGACTAAGCCAAGTCTAGTGAGGGTTGAGATGTCAGCCTAATCCGCTCATCGCGAAGTTCCCCCTGGAGCCTCTCTCTCTAATGGTGAAAGCCTTTCATGGATTTAGATCGCCTGCAGCCATTATCGAAGTTTCTGCTTGCAAAGTGGCAGTTTTTCGAAATCTTGCCATTCCTTCAACATGTATTAGCTGGGAGTCTTGTGAGAAAGAACTTGCCCTCGTCAGCCATTTGACTACCCTGAAATAGAGTTTGTACAGGAAAGTCAAGAAAAACTGCTTAATTCTTTCCCTCTATTTTCAGAATACAGTAATGAGTTCGTGGCCTAGCAACCTCCGAAGGTAACCATGAGGGTTTTTGCCTTTTAAAGAAGTGCTGGTCATGCACCTGATAGACTGTAATATAGTTAAGCTGTTTCAGCATATTGTAACCATTATTTTTTAAGTTGGTATCATTTCATCCAACCAGTAGTTGTGATAATTTCCTAGCTTTCTGGTAAAACGTCTTCCTGGCTCTCGTATCTGTTTCTGGTCTCCACCGAGCCTTCGTTCTCATGGGTGGGAGGTGGCATTCAGAGACCCCAGGCTGGGTGGGAGAGGTTTTCTTGTACTTAGTTGGGCATGGGTTCAGTTAGGACTTAGAGTTTTTTGAAAGAAATATACAGGCCTCACATTCTTTGACTGCTCTTTTTCTTGTCATATATTATATATAACGGTTTCCAATTACTAGTACCATTCTCATATTAAGAATAGGATTCCTGAATGGTGCTTACGGTTTCTTCCGCCGTTAGTGATATACAAAGTAAAATTACTGCCTATGAGTCCGTTTTGTCCTGTGGCATCCACTCAGTAGATGAGTTTTTTCGTTTGTTTTGAGACTTGTGACACTGCAGGACACTAGTGTAGCCTTATACAACAAGTAACTATACACAGTCCAGGGCAGCCGAGTGTCCTGTCCCCCCCTCTTGTTCATCACCCCTCCTTGCAGGCTTTGGCTTTACTAATGTTGAGTTTGCCCTTCTGTAAAGAAAGTACCACATGCAAACCCAGACGTGGGCACCTTCCTTTCTTAGAAGGCCTTTCATGGACATATTTTTGTATAATTTTTGCACCTACTTTTTTGTGTCCATTTTCTTTCTGCCTAATACAGCGATCCCCTGTAGATTCCTCCATAGCACATGTAGTGGTTCTGTTTTACAGTTTCAGAATGTTGCACTGGGGATGAAGCTCCCTGAGTAGGTTGATGAGCTTTTGTGGTGTTTCCTACTATGGCACTGGGGTGCCGCCCTTGTTCCTGTTGCTTGGTCATTTTGTTACTGTATCTTTAGGCTAGCTTCCTGGAAGTAGTGTTGTTGGGTCAGTTAGGTAGCCGTCCTAGGCTGTGTCCTGGAGGAGCTGTACCCAGGGCCTGTGTCCCCAAGGCTTTGTCATCAGAGTTGTTGTCAGACTTGACCTTGGAGTTTGCTTGTGGAGGAAGAAGGTAACCAAGTTTGTTTGTCTTAGGATGAGGCTGAGCACCTTTCCTGTGCTGAAGGTCACTTGCGTTTCTTTTGTAAAGTGCTGCCCATTTTTCTTTGGGTTATCTCCTCATAAATTTTCATAAGCGCTTTTTGTCGTTGAGTGATTAACCCATTGTGGCACAGCTCTCAGATCTGGCCGTCAGTTGTCTTAATTTTGCTCTGCATGTTTTTCTTCCTCGTAAAAGTTTACTCACATTTTGCAGTCTTTCCTGTTCTTTCTGGATTTTGAGTCATAGTGTGGAAAGGTTTTTGAAAACTTCGTTTTTATTTTGAAAGATTTCTCGAAGACGTCATCTGCTGATTCCCCCCTCTGTTTCAGCAGAGCCTTTCTGGGAAGTGGTAGAAAATTCTGCTCATTGGTACAGCCGCCGTTTGTCAGCTGTTGTCCCCAGTGTTGGCAAGGCAGGTGGAGAGGGACAGAGCACTTCTGCCCTCCTCTGAACTGGACTTGAGGGTGAGGCACATTCACGCTCTTAGGAGTGCACAGGTGTTCAGCGTTTTAGACCAGGCTATTAACGTTGAAGATCTGCCTACTGCCGTACATCTGCTTGCATCTTTTTTTCCATAAGATATAAAGTGTGTTTTCCCTGCTCCCCAGACTTGGTGAAAAAAACTCGAATTTCCTTTAACCATCCAATTCCAGATTTCACTGATTTAAAACAGCCTTCGCTCCAAAGGAGAGTAGCCATCAGTCAGTCTTGTTTGTTGATGAGTAAGATAGTACCAAATGTAGAGAGAGCTACAGGTTTCCATTCAGCCACAGTAGCAGTTCGTGCCAGTGGCAGATTAGCAAACAGTATTTAATATTATGAACTGCACACAGTGACTCATCGCACAGCACAGGCGAAGAAGAAATCAAGGTGACTGAGTGCATAGATGGGATTGCAGGTCAGATTAGTCAGGAGAAAACCCGTGACGTAGTCGTGAGCAGCTGAGATGACCAGCGTCCACAGGAGAGCGAGGCTTTGCCCTCCCTGACCCTTACCAGTGAGGACGGGGCCTGTGTGGTGGCTGCCCATGCACACACACACAGCAAAGGAGCACAGCACCGCAGTGAGTTTATTTTCCACAGAGGTGTTGCTGGTTCCTCCCTCCCACCCCCATTTTCTTAAACAGGGATCTCTTTGTCTTGGTCTTGGACCGTTACTTTTGTTTGTGAATGGCAATTTTCCTTACCTGGACTGTTTCATTGTTGCGCTGCTGCCGCCTGGTGGCCGTGGTGGTGATGTCACAATTCCGTTTAGCTCTGCTTTTTGCCAAGAAGCGGTATTAAAGGAGTCGCTGATGTATTTGGAGCTCGGGAATACTGTAAAAACACAAAGATCACACACTGGTTGTGACCTGAGAGTCACGCGGCCTGTTCTGACCCCCAGGGCCATGGTTTGTAGTGTGCTGTGGTCAGGTTGTTCAGCCCTTCAGCCTTCAGCTTTCTCAGTGAGTGTCTTTATGAACGTTGTGAAGCTTGAACTAGGGAGTGTGCGAGGCGGAGCAGCTCAGCGCTCAGTGACATAGCCTCTGTTATAAATACTGTTAGTTACAGAATGCCTTCCAGAAAACATTAATGTATTATGTATTACCAAGTACATGAATGTTTAAGACTAATATGACCTAGAGAAGTGTGATTTTACTAGTGATACAATTGAATGACCACAGCAGCGGTCATTCATAGCACTTTGCTACCTGCGGTTGTCAAGTGATGCTACTGACAATGGCAGTGGACATTCATTGGCCTTTGGGACTTCATGCAAAAGCTGGGAGAAACCTTGGAGATTATTGCTTAGGCCTCTAAGTTCATAGATGCAAACACTGAGGCACAAGGGCACTCAAAGCTGGGTAGTTGCAAAAGAGGACCACGCCAGGTCTCCAGATAGAGTGGACCCCGTCTGTCTTCCCAGCTCTCCTGCAAGTGGCCCCAAGAAGGAGTTACGCTGTACTTGGACTCTTGTTTGGAGGAAGGCAGAACAGGTCATGGGCCTTTTCTCTTCAGGTTTCTCTTTGTGTGACGTTGGTGTAGGCTGTGCTTGTTTAATCCTCCTTCCTGGTGTTAGGTGAGCTGCAGTGGCTGCACTGTCCCGGGTTTTCATCAGGGACACCTCGGGCATTCATGTATCACTGTACACTTACCACACTGGGGAACAGTTTTGCTTAATTTTTTTTCTGTCTTATACTGGCCTATTAATTCCTTGAAAAGAACTGTGTCTTTCATTATATAGAGTGGTTAGTACAACACTGAACTGTTTTGAATAAAGGAAGTATATTTTTTACATGAGGCAGAACTTCTCTGCCTTCTAAAAGCTGTAATTCAGAGTTGGGGCTTTGAAGTCCCCAGGAAAAAGAGCAGTTTTCCTGATGACTTGTGGCTTGAGGTGACCAGCATTCTGAAGGTTTGTGGTGAGAACCAGCACATACCACAGGCTGGCGCTTCTGAACTGAAGGGGCTTTCCCTCATACCCACTCTCCATTCTCCATGCTGTGTCTCCCCTTTCATGGCAGTGGGAAAGGTCTTTCATCTGCTGGTTCGCTCCCCAAATGGCTGCAATGGCTGGAGCTGTGCGGATCTGAAGCCAGGAGCCAAGAATTTCCGAGTCTCCCATGCGGTCGCAGGGGCCCAAGGACTCGGGCCATCTTCTACTGTTTTCCCAGACCATAGTAGGGAGCTGGATCAGAAGAGGAGCAGCTGAGACTCCACCTGGTGCCCATATGGGATGCTGGCGCCGCAGGCGGAGGATTAACCTACACTCCACAGCACCAGCCCCTCTAATATCTTTAACAAAGGAAAAAACAAAACAAAACAAAACAAAACAGAGAAAAAGTTACACTTTCCCTCTACCTGTGTGAGCCCAGCTTCTCCCTTTCCCTTGTAAGGCGGTTTGTTTCAGTGTCGCTGCTAGAGTGATTTCCCACCCTCAGAAAACTGGGCGTAGGACACTGGGGTAATGGATCCATCCTGTGCGGACCAGCAGTTTGGAGAATTTAAATTTAAAGGTTTTTCTTTTAGTTGGTCCTACTTTTTTTTTTTTTTTTCCATTTTTTGGTATCCTATTTCTTTAAGATTTTGTAATTCTCATTGTAGAGATCTTTAACGTCCTTGGTTAAGTTTATTCCAAGGCATTTGATTGTTTTTGTGGCTATTGTGAATGGGATTGATCTTAGCAGTTCTTTCTCAGCCGTGGCATTGCCTGTATATACAAAGGCTGTTGATTTTTGTGCATTGATTTTATATCCTGCTACTTTGCCAAACTCTTCTATGAGTTCCAGTAGTCTCTTAGTAGAGTTCTTTGGATCCCCTAATAAAGAATCATATCATCTGCAAAGAGGGATAGTTTGACTTCTTCCTTCCCAATTTGTATCCCTTTAATTTCTTTTTCTTGCCTAATAGCTCTGGCTAAAACTTCCAGAACTATATTGAATAGCAGTGGTGAGAGTGGGCATCCCTGTCTGGTACCAGATCTCAGTGGAAATGCTTCCAACTTTTCCCCCTTTCAATGCCTGTGGGTTTTTCATAAATTGCTTTGATTGTATTGAGGAATGTTCCTTCCATACCCAGTTTGCTTAGGGTTTTCATCATGAAAGTGTGTTGTATTTTATCAAATGCTTTCTCTGCGTCTATTGAGATAATCATATGGTTTTTCTTCTGCAGTCTGTTAATGTGGTGTATCACATTGATTGATTTGCAAACATTGCACCATCCCTGCATGCCAGGGATACATCCCACTTGGTCTGGGTGGATGATCTTTCTGATGTGTTGTTGCATTCTATTGACCAGAATTTTATTGAGGATTTTAGTTGGTCCTAATATTTTTAAGTGGGATCCTTTGCTTCTACAGTCGTATTAAGAAGTGTTATATTTTTTTCCTAGTTATTTTTATGCGTTTTTTTTCACAGTCCTAAGTTGTAAGTTGGAATGTGAGAACTTAAAAATGAATTTTCTCATGATATTTTTTTCCTTTCCTAGTGGCCAAAGCAAAGGAGATTTGGTGATGGAGGCTTTGTTGGAAGGAATGCAAAATCGGGGGCATGGTGGGTAAGTTTGCTTTTGACCTTTGGCTTCTCACTGCCGTTTAGAAGGCGTAGCCAAGCTACGTTCTGGCCTTACTGGTCTTTGCTGGTAAAAGCAGAGGTGTTGAGCAGCCGCCAAGTTGATCTCTGGCACGTTGTGGATGGCGTCTCTGCGCTGCCTGCCTCACCCCAGCAGTGTAAAGCTGGACGCTTTTTCTTTAAAGGTTTGTTTGTTTATTTTTTAAGATTTATTGATTTATTTATTTGAATGGCAATGTTACTAAGAGAGAAAAGGATCTTCCATCCGCTGATTGACCCCCAGGGCTGGGCCAGGCCCAAGCCAGGAGCCAGGAGCTGCATCCAGGTCTCCCATGTGGGTGGCAGAGCCCAAACACTTGGGCCATCCTCCACTGCTTTTCCCAGGCCCTTAGCAGGGAGCTAGATCAGAATTGGAGCAGCCAGGACTCAAAGTGCCACCCACATGGGGTGCTGGCATCACAGGTGGCAGCTTAACCTGCTGAGCCACAACCCCAGCGCCAAGCTGGATCCTTTCATTCCACTTGGAGTTTTCGACGTGAAAAAGCAAAAGGGCAGAGGTTTTGTGATACTGAGAACAAGTGATTTTTTTTTTAAAGATTTATTTATTTATTTGAGAGAGTGAGAGAGAGAGAGAGAGAGGTGTCTTCCGTCAGCTGGTTCACTCCCCAATTGGCTGCACTGGCCAGAGTTGTGCTGATCTGAAGCCAGGGGCCAGGAGCTTCTTCCTGGTCTCCCATGTGGGTGCAGGGGCTCAAGGACTTGGGCCATCCTCCACTGCTTTCCCAGGCCATAGCAGAGAGCTGGATTGGAAGTGGAGCAACTGGGACTTGAACCTGCGCCCATAGGGGATGCTGGCACTGCAGAGGGCGGCTTTACCTGCTACACCACAGCGCCGGCCCCTGAACAAGTGCTTTTTAAAAGAAGTATGCAGGGCTTAGTAGTTAGAGCTTTCTAGCTATTCCTGGAAGCATCTTGAGTCTACTACATCTGTGTCCACCTCTGTTTCCATCTCTGCAACATCTGGTTCTTCCAAGAGCGTGAGTAAGTTTACAATCCTAAGGTAAGGTGCAGTAGGTTTCTAAGAGTAAGGTGGGAATAAAGCTGGCCCATGGAGAGTTTTCTTACAATAGCTCTCAAACTGTCTTATCATTTTCCTGTATGACAGCTGGCTTGCTTCCAAGGCTTTTTATCACAGCCAGGTGAGAACATGATGTTAAGGCTTGCCTCTGTTCTAAAAGCTTCCCTAAAATGTTACAGAAGGGGTCGTTGTAAGTTATGGGAGTCTCACTCCATCAGCCACAGTCTTGTGCTTGACTGAACAGCTTGGCTTTGGGTTGCCTGTTAGAGACAAATGAAGTGTCTATGGAGTAAATAGTCATCGGAACATGGGCCAAAGCCAGAGCCCGGATGTGCTGTTTGCTTCTGGTCACTGGTTGGTTGGAGTTGTTCCACTTCAGGTAACTTTATCTTGGCAGCATTTTTACATGTGAAAAATGAGAAACCATTTGGACGTATGTTCTGGGTTATAAGTTGCCTTGTCTTACTTAGGGGGTTTTTGACATCGTGTGAAGCAGAACTACAAGAGCTCATGAAACAGATCGACATCATGGTGGCTCATAAAAAATCAGAGTGGGAAGGGCAGACTCACGCTCTGGAAACTTGCTTGGACATCCGTGAGCAGGAGCTCAAGACTCTCAGGGGCCAGTTGGAAATGAAACACAAGGAGGTAAAGCTGTTGGTTTTCTCTCCCTTTTGATATTTTGACCTTGCTTCTATATTAAACATGTTTCTTAAATATGTGTTGAAGAAAGCACTGTGTACTAAGTTAGTTTATTGCTTTTAATTGAAATTCTGATGGTTTATTTTAGAAGAAAATTCCAAAGTGAAAATGTATGAGACCATAAATACCTATTTCAAAGAGTATGTGAAAGGGCATCACGTGCTCTCTGTGTGACCTGCGTGTGTTACATGTCCTTATTCCCATTCACTGGATCTAATGGAAGTTGTTTTTGGCCTGGTTGCACGGCTGGTATAAAAAAACTTAAGCTCCGAATGCAACAATTTGCTTCTTTTGCTTATATTTAAAACAACACTAGAAAGACTTTAATTTTTTTTCCTTGTTGAAAAGTAGGGAAAAAGAAAGAAAAGAAAAGGAACTTTTGATATTGGTAATTTTGGGGAAAAGTTTAATACTATTTTCTGATTTGTTTCTCATCATTTATCTGTACAATAGCAAGATGTACAAAAGCAGGAAGCAGTTACAAGTGCAAGAGATGCCTCTAAATTTCTTGCATGAATGTGCATCTCAGAAGGATTGAAGAGTTGTAGGGAAACATGGGTCCCAAGCTGTGGATTTTCCTGCTGGTGGGATCACTGCTCTTTAGGGCTGTTATCCTCTTATTCAGGAATGTTTCCATAAGCGGTACACATTGAGAGTGTGATTGGTTGGTGACACTTACCAAAAGTAATTTAGAAATGCTTTATATAGAGGCCTGTGCTGTGATGTAGCAGATAAAGCCACCACCTGCACTACTGGCATCCCATTTGGGCGCCGGTTCAGGTCCTGACTGCTCCACTTCTGATCCAGCTCCCTGCTAATGTGCCTGGGAAAGCAGTAGAGGATGGCCCCTGCACCTACGTGGGAGACCGGAAGAAGCTCCTGACTCCTGGTTTTGGACTGGCCCACCTCCAGCTTTTGTGGCTATTTGGGAAGTGAGCCAGCTGATGGAAGATTGATCTCTCTCCCTCTCTCTCCACCTCTGCCTTTGCCTCTCTGTAACTCTGCCTTTCAAATAAATAAATATATCTTTAAAAATTGTTTTATATAGCAAGGAAAGGGTGGAGTCAATAAAACTCCTTTTGTGCTTGCCAAGAGACTTTTAATGGTTTACAATTTGCACTTTGAGTTAAAGCAGTACACAATAATATTGGCCATATCAAATTCAGTTTTATGCCAATGCCATTTACTAAACGGAATTTATATTAAAATTTAGCTGAATCTTTGTATTTTAAATTACATCTTACACAAAGATATAGAGGATGGATTTTTCTTTTTTAAGATTTATTTTTATTTATTTAAAAGGCAGAGTTAGAGAGGTAGAAACACAGAGTTTCTATCTACTAGTTCACTCCTCAAATGGCTGCAACAGCTGAAGCTGGGCCTATCAGAAGCCAGGAGCCAGTAGATTCATCCAGGTCTCTACGTGGGTGCGGGGGCGCAAGCACTTGGGCCATCTTCCTCTGGTTTCCCAGGTGCATTAGCAGGGAACTAGATCAGAAGTGGAACAACTGGAACTCTAACTGGTGACCATGTGAGATGCTGCCATTGCAGATGGCAGCTTAACCCGCTGTGCCACAGCGCCGGCCCAGGCATTTTGGATCTTTAAAAATCATGATTTAGTGGGTGTCCATACTCCATTTCTGGTAGGCTACATAGTTGCCACTTGGCTTACTTCTCTAAGAACAAAACCAAAGTAGAGTTGTTTAGTAAGTTAAAGTTTTAGTGGTTTTGTTTAGAAACAAATACTATAAATACCATAGATAAACATTAAACGAATTCCTGTGTTTGTGATTCTGAGAATATTTAATCACTCTGAAGCCAAGTTTGAACTTTTTCTTGTGCCTTAGTTTTGATGTCAGGGGCATTGTTGCTGTGACCAATACTGTGAAGGGAAGTTAAGGGATGGGGTAGGTACATTCAGTGGTAAGGATTTGAAGATTACAAGTTTGGCCTAGGGTCAAATAAGAAATCTAGAATTGTGGCTGTCTGGTCAATTTGCTGCCTCATTGATCAGGCTGCTGAAAATTGGTTAAGCTTCTAGAAGTAATGTATTTTTACAAAACATTAGTAATGGGAATCTATTCCATAGAGTTTGTGAAATTGTGTTGCACTTTGCTTTCAGATGTGACTTATAACATGTTCGTGATCTAATGTGAGGAGTGCATGATATAAGAACTAGAAAATATGGCTTTCTGTTTTTCTGTTTTTTCACTTTTACTTGTTTCAAAGGTATAGGCCTAGAGACAGTTCTATGGTTTGAACCAATAGGAACCCAAGACAGGTTCCCCAGTCAGGTGAAAAGCTGTTGTTAGAATGTAAGTTCATGCATTGGGTTCTTCCCTGAGAAGGTGTTGCTGTGGAAGAATGTCAGTTGCTCTCCACAGAAAACCCGATGACGCAGTTGATTTACATTCTGTCCGAGCTCCTGGCTTCCTGCTGGGCTGCTGTTTGTGCGCAGCCCCAGCCTACCTGCAGATCCTACATGGAGGAGCACAGGTAGAAGCTGCTGGTTTTGTGAGTTAACGCTTTGTTGTGTTTTCTGATTGTGATGTTGGGATTGAGTTGGTTTTAATGGACATTTCTGCTGCTGTAGTCTTTAACTCCCAATAGTGCAGGTTAACCTTACCAAGCGAGTAAGGAATTTGGAGTCTTGGCTGTGCCTCTTTTTCAGCTAAATGGCCTTAGATGAGAAACTTAACCTCTGAGCCTGTTTCATGATGTGTGAAATTTGGATGTAATTCATCTGTTCCAATGTTGTTGTGGAGATTGAATTATTGTATAAGAAACCACTTTAGAAAACTGTAAATTATATTTAAAACGATCAGTTATTTCAGTTCATTTTCCCTGTCATCCGTTTAATGGCTTCAGACCCTCAGTGGCTGTTTCTCTACCTGAAGTCACTCCTTCACCCTCAGGATATTGCCTCTTTTTCTCCAGGAAGTTTGAGTGGTGAGTGCCCATTACGAAGCAGACAGTGGTACCTAAATAACATTAAACCTTGTCTTCACATCTACTATTTATACTTGTCATATACTGAAACTAAAAAGAAAAATCAGTCCCATAAAAAAAGAGTAACCCTTCTGCCCGGCCTCCCAGGGCAGCGATCCCTGCTTCCCCGAGGCAGCGATTGCAGGGCCTTCCGCCCTCACCTTCAGTATTTTCCTGGGTTTCCAAGCCACTCTTCACACTGCTGCTTCTGAATCTTAGCTCTAGCTCTTTATCTAGTGACTTGTTACCGCGAGAGAAGAGGGTTTTTGCTCTCTTATGTACAGCTTTCATCCCCTCATCCTGCCAACAGTGCAAACCTTAATTTTTTGTTAGATTAGTATTCAGTATTTATATCATTAAGAAGATGAATGTTATTCACAGTTGAGTCAGATAGTTTAACAATAATCAAACTTGTTTCTTATACTATTTTTTATTTTCCTGGGAGTTAATAAGTGTTTCATTTTCATTTGCTTAAACATAGCTTTCACGGGTTCTTCTTAAACTCTGTGACAGAAGTGTGAGTTTCCTCTGTGTGTTCAGATGTGTCAGGTAATCTATCCATATTGTTTCCCCCTGTGAAGGCAGCGTTCTTGGAGCTCATCATTGTTAAATAGAGAAAGGTGACTGTCAGCCATGCCGTGGCTCACTCGGCTAATCCTCTGCCTGTGACACTGCTACCCCGGGTTCTAGTCCTGGTCAGGGCACCAGATTCTGTCCTGGTTGCTCCTCTTCCAGTCCAGCTCTCTGCTATGGCCTGGGAAGGCAGTGGAGGATGGCCCAAGTGCTTGGGCCCTGCACCTGCATGGGAGACCAGGAGGAGGCACCTGGCTCCTGGCTTCGGATCAGTGCAGCACGCCAGCCATAGCAGCCATCTGGGGGGGTGAACCAACGGAAAGAGGACCTTTCTCTCTGTCTCTCTCTACTCTCTCTCACTGTCTAACTCTGCCTGTCCAAAAAAAAAAAAAAAAAAAAAGGTGACTGTCAAGGCTGGCTGAGTAACTGTCATTTTGGGAACCCCCTCCACCACTATCTTAGAGGTTTTCTGTGTATTCTCTGCCATGTTCTTTATGAGTTTACTCTTCCATTTAGTAGAACGTACTTTTGTTGTCTTATATGTCTGAAAAGATCTTCAGTCTCTCCTCAGACCCGACTGAAAGGTTATCTGTAGAATTCTGTTCTAGAAGTAAATTTCCCTCAGCAAGTTGGTTAGCTATGAATCTTTTAGACATTAACATCTGGTAATGGAAGATTAGAAAATTTGGGCCAGTTCATCAGCCTGAGAACAAATAAGAACATCAGGTTAAAAAATAATCTACTTGAAGTAAAGTGCTGTCAGGGTATTGAAAAACTCACATGTCAGGCTGTGGGCAAGGCTGGAGCCCCAGGGAGGCACCGTCAGCACTTAGAGCCATCATTAGTGGACACTGGAGAGGTGACGGAGACGGGACAGGCAAAGGCTGAACAGGACTTCTGAGAACTTCCAACAAGAAAATCTGAATGTGTAAGCATCTAGTAAAATACTTTTGAAAGAAATCTCTTTTTCTCTTGTTCTCTCCCTTATCTATATGAAAAAAGAGGCAGGACTACACAGGGAAATAGATAAAGTTACATTCACAGTTGGGGATTTGCTTAGTAGCTGATGGAATCAGACAGACATCTGTAGGGATAGAGATCAGCAGACTTGACCTCACTGATGTATGTAGGTTACTCTGCAGAGCTGCAGAGGACACGTTCTCTTCCTTACCAGTGACCTTGGCACAAGGCCAAGGCTGGAAATCACAGGTAAGAAGAAAAGACCCTGAAACTTTGCATGCTTTTTGGAAATTAAGACCTTAAGTTCTTAATGACTAATAGAGTCCAAAAGAGGTAGCAATGGAAATCAGAAAACGCAATGAGAAGAAATAAAAGTACACCTCAGACATGTAGGATGGAGATAAAGTGTCCCGCAGGGAACTTCA